CTCTCTCTCTCTCTCTCTCTCTCTTATATTTCTTTTGTTTCGTTTAAGTACATGTAACAATTTCTTTCACTCACTCGTCTATTTATGAATGTTACACACCGGAAGATACACGAATTATACAATGTATACTGTAACATACCGTAAAGAACTGTAAAGAACGCCCTCGAGGAGTACCAGAGGTAAGAAAAATGGCGATATCACTGTGCATGAGACGTTGATAGCGTTCTAATCAGTAGTAAGTTTCTAAAGCTTCGTAGCGACTGTATTATTAGAAAGAAGTAAAAATTCAGGGCTATTCTATACAGTTCTTTATAGCACAGCTACCACTTTACAATACTCTGTAATTCACATACTTAATTCTTCCTATTTCTTTCTTTTTTTTTTTTGTATATAGAAATTTTTATTTAAAAATCAGTGAATGGCAAAAAAATTATTTAATTAAAAAAAAGATAATTTATGATTAATCGCTTTCGATAAAACAGAACAAATTTTGGAAAAAATTTTACACGAGTCGTTACTCAAACCTTTCAATTTTGCCCGTGCGAAAATATAACGACGTTGCATAAAAATTTAATGAAAATTGTGCTAATTTGTTTTCGTTTCCAATTCTATTTCTTTTCTTTTTTTTTCTTTTTCTGGAATAATTTATGCGGTATAGCGATCGTTATCCTTAATCCGTTTTTAAATTTATAAAAATGGAATTTCAATTTCCATATTTTCCTTATAACAGCATTCGCTGACTTCAAACATCGGAGAACTGAATCAACGAAATATAAATGCAAAATTTGGAAAAGGGGAGAAATTATTTATTCCATTTCTAATAACGCGTATACAATCTTATTCGTCCGATCTGCAACGTCATTGCAGTATATTTACCTGAATCTCACGAGATACGATTAACAGCACACCGTGGTACAACTAACAACAAGAGACAACTCGAAGTGTCTTGTAATTCTTTTTAGTTCGATCATACAATCTTATCGCACAAGTAGATCCCAGTCCAACTGTTGTAACTATAGTGATCACGCTTACTTTTTCAAAGGTATTCTTTTACCATCACGATTGTACGCTAGGTAAGCTTGAGGGTAAAGAATTTGAGTTATCGTGTGTGACACATTCAATGACACGTTTCAACACTCAGATACCGAAGCAGTCATGTATTCTAGAAACATCTTTGCCTTTCAATTTAATTACTTCGACGTGAATTTAAAACGTTTTCCTCTATTTGAAACGTATCTCTCTAGCCTACCAATGTGTTAGGTTTGTACCAAGATCTTTACCTTCAATGTAGCCCCTCGCAGATGTTAGGTCTGTACGGTGTGTACATCGTCGACTGTTCTATTTAATCGACAGGTGAAGAAAATGCAGGACAGGGTGCAAAAGACGAAGGAAGAGGTGCAGAAAGCGAAAGAAAAGTACGAGGCCGCGTTGCAAGAAATTAATCAGTATAACCCGAAATACATGGAGGATATGACTCAGGTGTTCGAGAAGTGTCAAGAGATGGAGGCGCAGCGGCTTCAGTTCTTCAAGGATGTTCTTTTTGGCATCCATAAATGTCTCAATATATCTCAGGATCCGATGTAAGTGTATATACACAATTTCATATTTCTTTACCCTACTTTCTTAAGTATATTATCGCATGTATTATATTACCTGTTATTATAATGATTGTTAACTCTTCACGGACCAAATCTGTATAGTGTACTGTTTTACTTGTAATTCACTGACAATGAGTTTTAGTGTCGTTTATCAGTTCGATTATTAACCATACCGTAAGAAAACCTGAATGACTGAAAATGATCTTTTGTTATACTACGATTTATGATCTGCAATCTATTTTTATAGTATGGTAGAGTATTATTTACCCACGGTCCCCGAAAGGTTAAAGTGAGAATTTACCAGTACTAGGATTTATTATAACGAAACCTAGAATGTTATCTTGTTGAAAGAACGATAAAAATAATTTTTACTTGTCGTTTATAGACTTCCACAAATATACGAAGAATTCTATCATACGATTAATAACGCGGACCATGAAAAGGACTTGAAATGGTGGTCGAACAATCACGGTGTAAATATGGCTATGAATTGGCCTCAATTCGAGGTAAGATAATGAAATACAAACGTACGTCTTGTAATCATTCTTCTTTATCGCATGTAACCTCTTGCTCATGGTTGAAAATCTGATGTTAGAGAATATAGTCGTAGCGTGTACTGAATATTATTCCTGTTCTTTTCTTTTTATAACTGCATTAATATCGTTCGTTAGTTATACTCTGTATGTCTAAATATTCTGCCATTTTTCGTACAAAATGACTCCACCATGAGTTTCGTTGGTGTGTCTATGGAGATTTAAAGTACAGTATGCTCGATGCTCTAAATTTCCATTAATCGTATTAATTATAGTTTCAAACAATTGACCATTTTCAGATAATTTATCTCTATGTTCTATGTCAAGTTAAGAAAATTAAAAAAGGAATTTTTCCTAATTATTGCCAACCTGTTTGAAACAAGATTCTTGTTTACTCCCAAATTTTGGATCTTTACCTGTCCATAATCGATGTAACGAAGTTGTATTAACCTTTAACCGAAGACATGTTTTTCTACCATCGCTAATGGCAATTTACTGTTATTATTATTATTTTTTATCCACCATATTTATTGTACAGAAATGAGTAATTCAGCCATCGTTGCAATATGTGCAGATTTCTCTTAAGTAAAATATGTAAGACCTATTTTGACGTTTCACCAGTTTAGATTAGCACGTTCACCATCAAATGTATATTCGCAAGTGATAAATCTTATTATTTTGAAGTGAATAATTTGACAATTTCACTATTACTCACCACCAGTGTGTCGTTCATTTCTGGCTAACAAAGCATAATCGGAACCATCACTGTCGTGCACCAGGCTCCGCCATGATGGTGAACGTCTTATATAGCTATCTATTAATTAAAAAAAGGACCACATTTCGTTTCATCAAATCTGTAGACTGATAAACAACGAGCAATTGTTATTTTCCCATACTCCACACGCGACTATTCCTTCTAAGCTTCACTCCAAAATCTCCATCACACGCGTTAGTTGCAATCTTCGTTACATCGGTTCAGAGATTCCCTCAGCATAACTATCTAACCCCTGAATTCTCGCTACACGATGTACGTATTTAAGTCGAAACATGTCCCACGGGGTTAAATTAGCTGAACATGCGTACAATCCACGATCTCTCCCCTTAATCGTGTATCCCAAGAACAAGGTACAATATCAAACTCCTGTAAGAGCATCTAAAAAGTACATACATATATACATACATATCCCTAGATGATCGAAAAATTTTCCGGAATGCATGCATGTGATTGTTCTTTTTTTTTTGGGCGTTGCTATTACGCAGGACTATACAGAGGAGTTTCGTGACATCACCAAGGGTTCGAAGTCGAAGGAGGCACTTCCGGCTGGGTCCATCACGCTGATCAATCAACGCCCGGTCGGCGAGGATGTGCATGTAAAGTTTTGTTATGTTTTACACTTACCCCGCCTGTCGTTCACGTGTACCCGATGAACGAAGGTTCACGCACACTCGTATATACACACACGGAGAAAAAGGAAAAAATTGAGCTTCTATTCTTTTTTTTATATATATATTTCTTTTAATTTTTTTTTTATTTATATTTATTTATTTGTTTTTTTTTATGCTGATCGAGAACCACGAAATAGCGTCGTCGTAACCGGCAAACACAACGAGGTCACCGAGGATGGGTTTCCTTTTTCAGCTTCTGGCTCGCCTAACTTAACTGAATTAACCGTAACCCGCTATGCGCTTGTTCTTGCACGTAATCGCAGATCTATATCGCGAACACACACCGAGCATGTTGTTACTACTCGTTACTGGAGCGAATTTACGAATTTACCAAATCAAATTGTTCATCTGCTGGATTGTTTTGTTTTAGAAACTCTTCGGTGGCTGTTGCTTTTATTACTTTTCTGCCACGATTTTTCACGGCTGGTACAAACTGTTTAGTCTACTTGTATACCAGATAAATCGATAATTTGGATAGGTTGTATGTTCTAATTTCATATACGATAATAGAAATTTATGAGAGGAATTCTTTCTTTCGGTTTTCAATTCTGAAGAGATTACTAATTTTTCGTCGCTGATAAAAATGTTTTCGAACTACTACGACTATTTAAATTTCGGATAAATTTATTTTCTCAAATAGATTTCGTTTCAAATAGATTGTGCGTTCTAATCTGATATACGGTAATAGAAGCTCGTGAGATAAATATCCTTTGGTTTTCTGCTCTAGAAAGATTAGCAGTTTTTCATAGTTAATAAAGCTATTTAAAATTCTAAATAGATCTGCATTTTATAGCTTGTACAAAGGTCTCTTCTTAGCTGTCTTTCTCTTCCTCTCTAAAAATATGAAATAATATTCTACAAACGTTTGTTAATACAGAAAATTTAATTGTACACTAACTTGTTTCTTCAAAAATGAACGTGATTTAAAAATGTATAAAAATTACGTTTTCCCTCTTTTATTTTCTTTTTTCATTTTTATTTTGATGTAGTAAGAATATCCTGATTTGTTTGCGAAGATTTGTAATATCGACGAAGGTTGTTTTAAATCTCTTTATCTATTTATAACACATGCCGATGACGTGAATTGAACGTGTTTCGATTATGCAGGCAATCGTAAATGAGTAAGACCAGCAAAATGGTACTGCATATTGAAGTGCAGGAGAATTTCTAGTATACGTTGTTTATATACGATTTAAATTTAATTATAATTATAAAATAATCTTCTCTACTTCGATTTCCACTAAATAATTCCTCCTGTACATTAATACCAATTTTGTATTATTGAATAACATACACAAATAATACAAAAGATTTATTACGTCCTTCGTTAAAATCATGTGCAAATTTGTAACTGTAAAATCTGAACTGTAAATTCGCTCCATATTTACTCGAGCGCTTATTAAATATAATTATTAGCATTATATCTTACTATCCCTTCATACATAACTGTTTATTGTTAAACAAAATCGAAACGGAGTGTAAGGCAATGTAAAACATGCTTGCAACCAGAAATCATCTGCACGGTTAATTCCCACAATAGAATCGTCATGACCATAAGTGTGAATTACGTTCAGTTATTGTAATGAAGAATATATTACCACATTCGTTATCGCATGATGTATGACAACGATCTGCACTTACGAAAGAAAAAGACTTGCCAAAGATGGTAATAATAGTCACCTCTGTGACGCTATGATCTTAATTCATCTTCGTCTCAGCCTGAATCATTTCATGTTTCTTATTTTTTTTTCCTTTTTTTTCTTTTTTTTTAAATTTTTATCGCAAAGCAATCGATAACAAAACCTTATCGTACGCGAAATTCACATTAAGCTTAAAAGTAACAAATTATATACGTTGCAAGTAATCATATATACATGCTTGTCACATTAAATATAGTTCATAGATATGTAAATAAAAAGTCTACGTGTTATATATATTTGGTTGCATGCATGATTTAAGATGACTATATAAATTCTTATAACTATTCCGTGGTCGAAGAGCTATATGAAGTTATAAATACATATGTATATTCAAATTTTACACGTCGATGTACACACGCCGATTTATTTAATATGGTGTTTTTTCATCGATGTAGGAATACCCACCGATTAATAATAAATCAAAATCGAAGCCTAGTTCACGGGTAATATCAACAGATGGTGGTCACGGGGATAGCAAAACCGACACGATTAATTCCAGCAAACATTCTTCTGAGAAGAACAACCACGATGGTAGTGCAGTGAACAGGACCGCTACAATGACGTTAGTATTGAACATAATTTCATAAATGAGGATTAAACATTTTTCATTCAAAACTTTTTGATCTAATATTCCATTAGTAACAATGTACTATTAGTCCTTTGCAGAGGAATGCCCTAAGTTTTATTTATTATAATTAACATTATTTACTGTATATTGTGATAAAAAGTAATTACATCCTTTTATCCAAAGAATTTATCTCAAATTTGTTATTTTAAATGGCTTATTATATATACCTTGATTTCTAACTTCTTATCTGCAAAGGATTAAATATATTTTGTTTGAAATATTAAAATGTACGATTATAAATTCTTTTACATAATAGTTTATTTATGAATATATCAATATAAACTCGAAACTTACCTTTTTAGTAATGGTACAAATGCTAAACAAGAATCAAATCCATTTGAAGAAGAAGAATGGGATGAAGATAGTGGTGAACCATTGGTAGATAATGGAGAACCTGGTGTTCTTGTACGCGCATTATACGACTATGAAGGTGCCGAGGCAGACGAACTTAGCTTTAAACAGGGTAATAATCATGCATTCATTTGTGAATTTTATCATATTCTGTATACATAATACAGTTTACGTAATTGTTATATTTTCACAGGTGAGGTATTCGATAAATTAGAGGACGAAGATGAACAAGGATGGTGTAAAGGGCGGAAAGATGGTAGAGTGGGTCTTTATCCTGCAAACTACGTAGAACTTATGTCACCTTAAAATTACCAAGCAAAGCCAAATTATATGAACATTGTTAGTTACTTAACACGTAACGCGTACGAAAGAAAAGGAAAAAAAAAAAACAAAATTTTTATTTTGTTGTTTGTTTCTCTATGAAATAGCACGTTAAAGAAAAGAGAAAATTTGTAAATGTCGTTAAATAAGAATTACATGAGACTCTATATTAGGAATCGTTCATTTTGTGTGATATATAATGAGCGCTAAAAAAGACGAAAAAGGTAATATGATACATCTTACGGTTCAATGTTACGAATGAAATTCAGGAAACTACTATAAACGTGAAGAAGAAAATGCATACATCTATTTCATTCTATCTTTCAGATCGATATAGGGTCGATGCAATAGAACTTAAAACGAAACTTTTAGTCTGACGGGTAATATGTTTCCGTAGGTAGCTAGGATTCTCTATATCCATCTCTATAAATTAGTGCTAAACGATAAGATGGATACATACACCACGAGTATATTATAAGTTTAGATTTTTGAGATAATGTACAATTATACATTTTTTGACTCATTATTAGCATTGTTGGTATGAAACATTTCGGCGAATGCGACGAAAAGTATATTTAATTTATTGTTATTCAAATGATACTATTAAAACCTATTCTTTCCGAATGGTATTCTTGTATATAATAGATATAAGGTCGTAAACGATATGTAAAGTTACATTGTTTAACGAAGTTGAGGTTTTATGATGTTCGCAGTACATCATCAGCAGGA